GAATATTGCTAAGATCAAGGGCTAGGAGCCATTACAATGTAAGTGCTTTCAAAAGACCATATTTAAATATAGCAAAGGAAAATGTAACATTTTAAAAAAATGAAATATGAATGGTATGACACATTGTAATTAAATTAAAGCTAGTAAACCAATATATATAACATTTTCATAATAAAAAAGGCACACTGCCCTGCAGTTCTGGCCACATTCTTACCCCTATAAAACAAAACAAAAAAGAGAAAATATCTGCAGCAAACCCAATAGGTAAAATGCAAAACCTTTTACTACTTATATAGAATGATCTAAATCCTGTATCACATATTTTAAAATAATAAAAAATGATTTTCCTTGCTGTTCCTTTATGAGAAGTCTCTATGATCCTAAAATTATTCTCCCAAAATTCAACTTTCTGCAAAGACAGTCAAAAGCTCAGGAGTTCACATGGAGCACTCATACGTGCAAAGTTCTTCTCCCTTATTTTAGTGTAAGCTATAATCGCATATCTTGTCCCAATTATCCATATGGTGCTATTTTTAACTTTGCAATGAATGCCACTCCTTGCTGGGACTGTTATTGAAATTTTGGGGTCTCCTGGAGTTTCAGATCTAGGTTAATAATGTGAAAAATACTTGAAATCAAGAGGACCTCTGAATGCAGCCACAGTGCAGCACAGATTTCAGTGGCATTGGGATTCATAAGCTGCACTGAATTGTGGCTAGTGTGTAGTTTTAATATTACGGGTCTATAAATGTAAAGGACATGAGAATAGGTAGCCTCATAAGTAATTATGCTACATCACTTTTGGCTTGACCGTTTTTGTTTTTACCAAAGATAAAACTTCAGCTGAAAGCATTTAGAGAGGAGGTGATATCCATTGGCAAATATGGTTTCCAATGACCAGTCCATATTATTTGCTCTTTGTGTAATGAAATTCTTGTGTAGTTTCTCCAAAAAGCTCAGGCTCTGCTTTCTATACAGCATGTAATTTATAAATAGGCGAGCAGAACATGAGAGCTTTGATTTTTAAGTGCAATCCCATGCATATTTAGACAGAAGAAATTCTTACAGCTTCCATCATTTTATATAGGTAGCCATGCTGACCGAGGAACACTAATGAGCTATAAGGCTTTTTTCTATCTAACCACGCATAGGATTATATCCTGAGTTCTCTTCCATTCACTTAAGGGGTGGCAGTTCTCAGGCAGAGCTTTGTGGACGCTCCAGTATGCATATGGAGTTACTGTATGAATTAATTCCTAACAATACTGAAAGACAGCTCTGTATGTGTGAGTACTGTGTATTTACTGAAACACTCTTGTAGGCGAAGAGTGACTGGATTGAAGTTTAAGTCTGTTATAGCACCTGGTCTATTAAATGGCAAAGAAAGGAACATTCAGAGAAATCAAGGAAGCTGCAGAAAAATGAGAATCAATTCTTGGCACATGTTTTCACAGCAAAAGATATCTCAAGGGTACCTACAACTGAACCATTTGTAAAAATATGCATTTAAACTACAGGAATCAGTAGAAGATTTAGACCTGACAAACCTAGTTATTGGGGCTACACTACAAATACTTCAGACGATATTGCAGAACTATTAGCAACAAAAATTTCAATCAAAATCATTGATAACAAATTACAGGAAGGTGGCCAAGTTATGCACTTTCCCCCCATTGCTGTATATATCTGTGCAGTCCATTAAAAGCTGCATTCCATTTGTAAGTGTTTAGCAATGGGGCTGTTGTGTTGAAAACAACCTATTAAATATTTTATCAAACAACAAAATATTTTAAGATAACTTTACAGTAAAGTGTTCCTGGTATGAAAATATCTTTAACAGGATAGAATTAAAATGATGCCAAAAGTGTGTCTTAAAAGCAAACATTTATCAGATTTAAAATGATACTCTACTATACCAAAAAAGATCATTTCCTTTCTTGCAGAAAATAAAAGGTAACTTTGAAGGAAAGCTATGAAAAGTGTTAAAGATGGAATCATCAATTTGAATAAACAAATGTTCATTTCTTGATTGTCAGTTAAGATGGTAAATATTTTATTATATCTTCACTGACCTGCTTTCCAAAATCCATGTTCAAGTTTATTCTTTTGAGTTAGATGAGAAAAGAGCTCCTTTTGGGGGAAGAAAAGCAACAACAGAACTGTTGTCTATGTCTTCATGTTCTTCACACCACCGGCTAGACACCGTGCCAGTATCTTTGCACAAAAGGCTTCCAACAGAACAGAGTGAATGAAAAGGAAAAAAAAAGGAAAGGAAGCCAATTTCTTCCATGATTGGCACTGGAAGGAGAGAACAAAACCCACTGGTGTGTCCATCTTCTGTAGCCCCACCAGGCTCACTATTTAGGAACAAAACTTTGGTGAGCATGGCTCAAGGATACTTCTGTGCTCCCTGGAGGCAACTCATTCAATATCTTCAGCAAACCTTCAGGCAGGCTGTTCTTCTGTCACCACTGTAGGCCTTCCACAAGTATCTCCACCCTCTTACTTGTTTCATTATTTGGCTACCAGCCAAGGAGTTTGACCCTTTAAGTGACAGATAAATTATTTCATATAGAAATGTCCTTTCAGATGTTAATAAAACCTCTGTTCCTGCTCACAAAATCTCAACTGGAATTGAATGTTACCTGTGCTACTGTGATATATTTTACAGTGTGTACATTTTTCTAGCTGAATTAAAACCTTTGGATTACACCAGCAGCAAATAATTCTGATTTGGCAGTTTTTGGTGGTGTACTTGTGCCATCCCTCTTATGAAAATGATGTGAGAAAATCCCATCACACTCAGTTAACATGAGTGGATTGTAACCAGTATGTTTATAGCTATTTTATGGTTAACTCCCATCAGAAAAGCAGCATTGCATAAGTACAGTCTAGCTCCATGCTGTGCCTAGGCAGTGAACTCAAACCAAGTCATGCTTACTAACTACCATTTGTGATACATCCTGGGAGATATGCACACACATTAACTTCTGTAAAGCTGTTAGCTGCAAAATTATTGTGGATATTAGTGGTGGATGAAAACATGCAGTGTGCATCACCTAATCTATGTCTTTTTAATACTACTCAATGTGCTAAAACATATCTTGTATACACTTCTAGCATTGCTTCTAAGGCAAGAAAAATGCACAGCAGTGATCACTGTTGAATGTATACCTGTATTATGTTCAGTTTTAGGTACTAGAGTTCAGGACAGTTGTGAGAAATTGGAAGAGATTTAGAGGGAGTTAAGGAGGAGAAGAATTACAGGTAATTTGAGGAAATGTAAAAAGAATAGGAAAATGTCAGCCCAGGGTTGCACCACTCATGACCCACCAAGCTAAAAAGGCATTCTATTTTGGCTTCTTGTCCTGACTACAGAAATGGTCAACATATTTTAGCATATTGTACCAATAAATAATTGTTCCTTCTAATAACTGGGGATACAAGTAGATGATGGGCTGGACATGTCATGAGCGGAGTAGGCATGTCATGAGTGGAGCTGGCTACAGCCGGGGGTCAGACTATATGGCCCAAGAGACCCCTTCTGACTTGTTCTGTTTCTATGAGAGATGATAGAATCATAGAATAGTAGAGTTGGAAAAGGTCAGAGGCCCATTGGGCCCAACCCCCTGCTCAGTGCAGATCTGATCATGGATATACTTTTAAATTTGTTTATTTATCTTTTGTCCCTTAGCCAAAAATGGTTTTCTGGGCAGTTAATTTTAATTAAAAGGTCTGTCCCATCCTTCCTCTAGATGAAATCAGTAGTACTACTCTTTGAGTGAAATGGGTTAAACCTTTTTATTATGCCCTTTTAACCCTCTCCTGCAGTTGCTAATTGTCCCAGAGTAGAACACACATTGGTATGTATATATGACACCTACAAGTTTCCCCTGTAGGTCATATAGCAGTTTTAGAAGAAGAATTTGAAGAGGAAATGGGACACAGAAAAGTTACTTTCCTTCTTCTAGAGTTGTGGGCCTGAGTTGATTTGATTTGATCCTTTGCAGTTGTGACTATTAAAAAACAACTAAACCAAACAGCACATTAGAAATTCTAATCATGTGGTATACAATCCTCTCTGTGTATGAAACCATTCAGTATTATCTCCTCCATCATAATTTAGCTTGGAGCTGTGGTTAGGACAAGAAGCAATCTATGTTAAAACTAGAGGAAATATATGTAAGTGAAGTATTAATTTAAATATCCTAAGTAAAAGAGCAGTTCTGCTATGGAACAACAACAAAAAAAGGTTCTTTCAAGGGAACTAATGAAAAGGTTGAAAAGTCTTGCTATAATAGGTACATAAGAAAAGCCATGTTGGATCAGACCGAAGGTTCATCTAGTCCAACACTCTGTATGCACAGTGGCAAAGCAACGGTACACAGGATTGCTTAGGTAGGATGGGTGCAAGACCTTCACCTGTCCAGCCTTCCAAGCAATGGTGTATACAGGCCTTTCACCTCTGCCAAAGGAGGTAGTACACAGCCACTGATAGCCTTCTCCCTGATAAATCTGACTAATCCCCCTTTAAAGCCATTCAATTTAGTAAATCTATTTAATGTTCCTTAGAATGCAATTACAGCAATGCGTGGAGAAGGAGTGAGAAAAAAGCAGACAGAAAACTTGTTTAACTGTTTGAGAACTGTGTACAGTTAATGAATGGAGTTGAAAGTAAGTTCACTGTTAGCAACTTCCATATACTGAAAAGAATAGTATGAATGCGAGAAGTTTCCATTGTTGTCTATTTGAGGAGAGCTCCTGTTTAAATCTCTTTATTCATGTACTGGATGCTTGCTATTCCCACCAATAACAACCTCCTGGAAGAGGTTAAGCTTTCTAAATCTTAAGTGGACATGCCTTATGTTCATGTTTGTTGTTATGCAGAAATTGTACCTTACAAATATTATTGCATCAGTGGTGCCCTCTGTTGGCAGTAAAGTTGAAAATAGGTAATCTTTGACATCTCTCACCTTATTAAGTCTGACAATTAAAAACACAAGTATATGATTTATTTACAAATGCTAAATTTCATTTCATTTTAATAATGAAAATCCATAGTATTTTAAGCTGTTCTTGCATTCACTGGCAAATGACTTTGAACTTCATATGTACATAGAGTTGTTCTTTCTGGCACCTTAATGCAATAACTTATTAAGCTGTAATACTTACTGAGTGCACAAATATTATGCAAATATTGCAGCTGTACTCCACAGTGCAAGTAGCATAGTATCAATATACATATAGATGTGATTGACAATCAGGAAAAAAGAAATGTAGCATTTTCTGTACAAAAATATGCAGCTTTTTAAAATTTGCAAAATTTTATCTTTTGGCACTTCCCAAATGCATATCTTTTGGCACTTTCCAAAAAGAACACTTTATAAAAATAAATATTTTATGCACAAACACACATACAGGCCAGTCCATGGTTAGAATTTTCACTGCAAAAGAGAAGTACGAAATTATTGTTAGTCTCACATATTAAGTTTTTCAAAGTGGATTTTCTGCTAAGAAGTAGTGTGAAGTTACACTGTTATGTGAACATGCTTCATACTGTATGGAACATATTAGGATTTGTATGTTCAGCTCAAATGAATTATTTTAAGGTCCCATTAATTAAATTGACAGAAACTAGTGTACAGAATTGACAAAAAAATTGACAGAAACAAGTCACTGAAATCGACAGGATGTAAAAGTGTCTAGCCATATCTATTCTCAGCAATAATTTCTCTTAGGGATTTGCTCTTGCTGCTTAGGTTTTTTATCTGTTAACATTTCATTCTAAATTTATTCCGTACTACTTAAATAGAATAAATCAGTAACTCATTTAGCTCATCTTCCCCTAATTTCTGTCTCTATCTTAGAAATTTTTTATTTTGTGCTTTCTCCCTTCTTTAATAGCATACTAAAATGTAGAATTACTTTTATATTGCTTCTACTTGGGAAGTTCATTAAGAGCTGTGATAATTACCTGGTTCACATGTAATGGATAGCTTTGTGTTAAGACACTTAGTTGGGGCTGCTTTTCCACTTGCTTATCATTTCAACTTTGCACCTGCTTTTGCAAACAGTTGTTCCTGGGTTGTTCCTTGTGCTGCATGAACCCAGAGCTTTGTGATTGGGGGAAAAACAACCCAGAGTTTTAACCCAACAACAACAAACTGTGGATTACAATTCAAGTTGTTTCTCTCTCAACAACCCAGTGTTCTGGGTTCACATATCATGATCAAAAAGGAGGCAACGTAGAATTGATGAGTGGCTGAAAGGCAGCATGCTCACTTGCACCCTCATGGACCCACCTTTTTTAACCTATGCTTGGTCATTTGTGTGAACTGGGTCATTATCTCAATAAATGGCTCCTTTATGATTAACACAAATCCTGTGCATAGTCAAGCTCAGTGTGAACTGTACAGGCACTATTAAGATGGTTGCATACAAGACCCAGTCATATAGAAAAGCTTTGTAGGCGTAAGTGTTCCCAAATTGCAAAGAAGGCTTTTTGCATCACAGACCAGAATTGGTAGAGCTCACAGTTCATAGATATGGAATCCCTGTGCAACTAGCAAACTCTGATGCCAAGTAGTTTAAAGTTCTATTTTAGAACTGTTGAAACGTAATTACAAAAGCTTCTGTTTGAAGAGCAGAATCTCAAAATTTTACTTCCAAGGACCAAACTAAACCTGAAGTGAAACACTTCATTAGCAATCATACCTGTAGTTTTTAAAAAAATGAAGAGGAGACTTGCAGGAGTGCAGGTTCAGTTCCTCAACCGCTGTCCTGACCCTCATCCAAGAGAAAGGATTGTGGCTAAAAGCAGCTTAGGTCAGCATGGGAGGAAAGGATGTGTCTCCGAGCCTTGCTATGCTCTACAGTCCTGGCAAAACTCATCTGTCTCTGTGGCAATTTAAAAAAAAACCAACCAAACAAAAACAAACACCACCACCACAGACATGGTTGCTAATGAAGAGGAAAGAAATTCTGCAGGAGGAAAGAGAAATTTAAAAAATCTGTTCAATCCTGTTCGTCTGGTGGGAATTCTGCTGGTTTCCTCCGTGAATGGAAGAATCTGTGCTATTTATGAAGGGATAAGCCTAAATCCTGATCTTAGCTCATGTCTAATTTAGCACATTACAGACTCTTAAAAGAAAGTATATGCATATAAGCTTAGGATATTGATATGATGCATTTCTAATTAGTTTAGTTTGTCTGGTTTTATAAACTATATTATTCATGTATTAATTCCATTTTTGTGTAAGTGATGTATTTGTGTTAATGTATCTATCACATACTGGTTACTAATAGGAAAGAAATATCACTGCAATTCTTTCATGCATAATTTACCTTCTTTGTTATAATCACAACATGCCACAACACCTTTATCAGAATTATTCAATATTTTAAGATTATTTTACCTTATTCCAGCATCCCTGAATTGGCAAACCATCTTCCCCCTACAAAAGAGGATAAGACAAAAAGCTTTGATGTCGAGAGAGGGCGAGGGAAAGAGACTCACAGTATACTCCTATACTTGCCCACTCAAAAGTAAGTCTCGTTGAATTCCATGGGCATTACATTCATGTAAGTAATTAATAACACAGCTGCAGAAAATATTAACAATTTCATATCAGCTGAAATGAAACACTTCAATGCAAGACACCTTGCATATATTGTACAAAGACTACATGTATTGGATTGCTATCTGCATATACTGCACATAGATTGGTGTAAGAGGGCTGTGTATACATTTGCAGGAAACATGAGCCAAACTCACCTTTCAGGATCTTATGATCTAGATCTCCCTGTGTTTAGATTAATGTGCAATAAATATGAAGTCCAGATTCATTTAAATCTATAAAAATTTTGCCTCTGATTTTAGTGGTGTGTGGATTACACTCTGAATGTGCCGTCATTACTCATTGGTTGAGGAGGATCAAGAAGTCTTTCCTTAAAGTCTTATTTCTTTTTGTGGGGTAGCCTGGGCCTAATTTAAAGTGTTTGTTTTGACATATAAAGCCCTAAATAGCTTAGAACATGGCTACCTAAAGGACCATCTGTTCCTATATATACCCACCTGCCCATTAAGATCTGAGCAGGAGGTCTTTCTAAAGAGCTGACGCTTAAGGAGATAAAGGAGATGGTAAATAGAAGAAAGGCCTTCTTGGTGGCTGTCCCTCGACTATGGAACAGACTGTCGAAAGAAATTTCCCTGGCACCAACCTGTCTTCATTTTGGCACCACGCAAAGACATTTCTTTACTCTGAATACTTCCAAGAACTGTCTTGAAATTTGTTATTTATTTTGACATCTGTTGTTGTACTTACTGGGTATAATTGTGATTTTTTCGGTGGTTTACATGGGGCAATCTAATATATTTTCTTATTACTAAACAAGGCAATCTGGAGATTCCCATAACACATTTTGATGATGACTGTTTTAAAATACAGTGGTAAATAGCATGGTTAATTAATACTTATTCGGCACTGACATAACCATATGCTTTCTAAACCCATTTCTCTTAATGATAACATACTCTTGACAGTACAGCTGTAAAATTCAATAATGGAGGATCTATTAACAGGAAATGAAAATGTTCCCATTGGTACAATGGTCCCATTGATAGGAATGAATCATATAATGCATCACATGTAAAACCTGGTGTTAAGGATTGTGTGATAGGAGCAGTTACATTTGAGGGATCAACAAAAGGACAAGGTCACAGCAGTGTTTGCAAAAGCTGGAGGTAGAAACATACTCATTCATAAGGAGAAATTAAGTATATATCACACCTGAAAAGCAGGAGCCCACACATGTATTTAGAATATACAGCAGAGGAGTGGCAGGCAAAAGGTAAGCTTTTGGCATGCTTGAGTTAGAAATCATATTATTTTCATCATGACCATATAAAGAATGTAGGCTTGCTTTGTTGTAAGAAAAGAATGACATGGCATGGCAAATGCTTTTCTCAGGTTTGGATGTGTTTGTGTTTACTATAAGTCTGTGTACATAAAGATGGGTGTTTGTAAGTAACAATAATGAATGTAGAACATTCTGTGTGCGATTTGACAGAAAGTGACAATTAGAACAAAATCCTGGAGAATCTCAAACTTTCTTCATACTGAAATTAGATGTGCCTGACTTTCTTTAGATTGAACCCATTGCCTATGTTTTGAATAGAATTTACAAATTAAAATACACACAAAGTTAACCAATTGGCATATATTAGCCAGTGTGGTATAGTGGTTAGAGTGTTGGTCTTGGGGCAGGGAGGTCTGGGTTTCCACTGTCTAAGTGTTGTGCCCTGGAGCATGAGGAGAGGAGGCTGAGGAACCACCACAATATGTTGCATCATGGTGGCCCTGGTGTCTTTCCCACCCTGCCTGTTGGAACAATCCCTAGGCTCCACGGTGGCCTTGGTGATGCAGTCGGTGTGGTTCTTTCGGTGTTGGCTGCAAGGTGGGGAAGAGTGAGCCTGTGAGGTCAAAGCACTTTTCCAGTCTTCTAGTGAAGTGTCCAAATATCCTTTGGCCATTTAGATGTCTAGTAGCTATAGGTTAACACTGTGGTAAATTTCCATTATTTACTCCAAGCCCTGAGCATTCTGTGGTTTCTGTTTTGCTTTTTTTGGTCAGCATTGTGAAGCTGAATGTACTCCAATCGTTTCTGTGTTAAACTGTTTTGGGAATGTAATAGCAATAACATTTTTTCTGTTAAAACTGGAGTCATTTCGAAATAAAATCACGTATTTCCACTTAGGATATTAAAAGGATCCTAGATGTGATTAATGCTTCCTTATGAGTGGGAATAGCCCCAGCCACCTTCAAAGAAGAAATTGTGAGACCTCTCCTTAAGAAACCCTCACAGGACTCTGAAATCTGAAACAACTATTGCCCAGTCATGAATAAACTCTTTTAGGTAAGGGGCTCAAGAGGGTGGTAGCAGTCAAGTTCCAGATACTGTTGGATGAAAAGGATTGTGTAAACCCATTTCAGTCAGGGTTTGTGCTGGAACAGCCTTGGAACTTTTCTACATGAGATATTTTTATGCTGTTAATTGCTGATTTTGTTACAGCATTAAAATTCATGTTCTACACATGTCCCATTCTTGATTTTCTGGTACACAGCCTTTAGGTGCAGCAGTGCTTTAAAAAAAAGGAATTGCATGAGGGGACAGAGTGCCATTTCTCCCATTGTATATTAACAGTTCATTTCCCCCTTCTAAACCAAAAAAGAGGGGTGCTCTAAAAAAACAAAAACCCCAGAAGTGAAACTAGATGATCATGACATTGTCTAAAGAGCCCATAAACAATCATGAGTTAAAAATTACAAGCACACAATAAATGCCTCATGTAGATAAGCCCTGGATCAACAGGTGGATGACTACTGTTGTGATGAATGTCGGGAGCTTTTCATGCTGTTCCCATGGTATCCTGTTAGATGATTCTGTGGTGGGAGTATTGCAGATTTCTGCTTGACTTAATAGCATTTGCAGGTTTCCATCTTATCCCTCATACTCCTGTGCATCTATATGAAACCACTGGGAGAGATCACCCTTGGTTTTGGACAGAAGTGTAATTAGTATAACCCTCAGCAATATTTCTCAAAGTCATCTCAGTCATCAAAGGTGCTAAATCATGTTGGAATCAGTAATGAACTGGATGAGCATTAATAGAACCAAGTGAAATTTGTACTGTGGTTCCTGGGTACTGAAAGTTGGTATAGAATCTGGTGTGCATGATGTTGCATTCCTCCTGAAAGAGTAAGCATACAGCTTGGAGCTACTTTTGGATTCAATCCATTAATCAGAAGCTCTGATGACCTAGAGTACCTTTTACCACCTTTGGCTGATTTGCCAGTTGCAGCCTTTCCTGAGAGACCCACACTCTGGTAACCTTCAGGTTTCATTACTGTAATACATAGGGTGTCCATGAACTATATGGAAGCTTCAACTGATGCAGAATTTGGCAGCTAGAATTTTGACTATACAAATAGAGTCACATCACATCAGTCTTAAATGAGTTAGTTACATTGGCTGCCTGTTTGCTTCCAAAACCAATTCAAGATGTTAGTGCTGAACATTTTAGCCTTAAACACCTTATGATTCAAATACCTTAAGAAAAACCCACTTTCCCCCTTCTTATATAAGTGTTTCTGTGTATTACAGTCATCAGATGAGGTCCTGCTCGGAGTGTTTTTAATAAAAAGTACAATGTAATGTTATGAAGGGGAGGGCTTTTCTGAGGTTGTGCCCCAACTTTATAATTCCTCTGGGAGAGAGATTTGACAGTAGTATTATTTTAGGCAGCAGGTTAAAATGCTTTCATCTGCCCAGGCATTTTAATTTATTTCAGCTTAATGTTGTTTTTATGGTTTTTAGCTATTTGATGAGTTGCTTTATCTTTCTTAGTATTATATGATGGTTACTGTGTTTTAAAGTCTTATAAAAAATAAAGACAGTATGTACTTCAGGTGGAGAGTTTTCAGATAGCAACCGCAAGTCACCATGTGTGAATTTGTATGCGTTCAGATATCTGAAGTACCTGAATAAGAGGTATGAAAGAAAGGTTAAAGAAGAACTAAATCAGGTATGTGCAAGCACCTTCACATTCTTTAATCCAGTATATTTATGATCTACTTCATATATTGCAAGCAAAATGGCAGTAGCAATCAGTTTCACTCCAAAAGCTGTTATAGGTGGTACTGTACATCAAGCATTTTGAAGGAAGCTGCAGATCTGGAAAGGGTTGCAATAGCAAGGTTGGAAAAGCAATCAAACATGCAGGAAAGGGAAGGTAACACCATACCAATGGGCAAGGGGCATCCAGCCCGTCCAGCCCTGGTAACCCCGGTTCACCCTTCTCGCCTTTAAAACCTCGGAGTCCCTGTTCATGAAATCAACCACTAGAATTACTTTAGTCAGTGCAAATCATCTCCATTTTGTGGGTGTAGAAACTCAGCACAACAGTGATGGAGACAAGGGCACTCAGGTTACATATCCAGTGTATTTGTATATAATGGCAAGCAGAGAATGGGAAGTCTTCTCTTTTTGTTTTCTGAAATGTTTGAAATGTATTTTCTCTTACTTTGATATGGTAAAAGGATTCTACAGAGGTAGAAGAGTGAGAACAAGATTCTCAAGATTTTCAAGATTTTGGAAAGTAGCTAATTTCAAGTAGCTAATATTTAAATTAAAAACAATTTGAGGACAGGTACACATTAACTGGATGTATGGCTTATTGCAAGAAATAACAGAATGAAGGAGCTAACTAAAATTCCCAGTAATACTTCAGTTTCTTGGAACATTTTAATCGGCTTGACTGGAATTAAAAATATTATTGCTGTATGCATTATGTGTTAATTTGATTTGTGCTTTCTGAAAAAAATATTAAAAATTGCTCTGTTCTCTGGCCAGAGACTGAGATAACACCACAAAGGTAAAGTATACCAAGATAAATCCAGCCAGCTTACATAGATACGACTAGAGCCATTTCTTAAATATTTCCTTTCCAGGCAAGGATTTCTAAAGCCTTTCACAGGACTGTACATTTTTCAAACAATTTTTTAGGTATTTTAAAAAAGTTTTTGTTGGGCTTTGCTAGAAAGACATTCTAATTTGTAGATGTAAAATAGTTCCATGTCAAGAACATTCTTCTTTTTTCTGTAGCAGATACCACTGGATGTCATAAACTGGGTACCCTTGATCATGATCAGCTTAAACTTATCTTGAACACATATGATCATCATGGGGCAGGGGAGGGGGAAAGAAGGCACTTTGATTCCATAGGCATGCGCACCTGATGACTACAATGTTAAAGGATGACTTGTATATAGAAATGAGCCACTACATCTCAGAATCCAAAGAAAGAGCTTTCATATTGCCTCATAAAACTTTAATTCAGTATACTTTATTTTAGATAGTTAACACATTCAGCAGCGAGTCATCAAGTGACTAATCAAATGAATTTCAGGCATGTATGAATTGGATTTAAGAAACTAATGGAGAAGCTCTAATAATGAGTCTAAAAGTGTTAAGGCATTGCTTTTTCATGTCTTTTCTACAATACCAATTGCTTCTAGGGCTTAATAATTTTCTGCTTTGATAGATACAGAGTCAACTTCAGTCTATTACTATAATGTGGTGCTATTGTCTTTTGTCCTTCTTTCTTCCCCATTGCTTTAAATGAAAACAATACATTTTATAAAACACAACATACCAGTGGACAGGGTGCATCTAATCCAGGTGCTCCTTGGTCTCCCTTATCCCCTTTAGGCCCTCTAGAGCCTTTCTTGCCCCTTTCCCCCTGTGAATAATAGTTCATTAAAATACATAAAAACTTTAGGATCATCCATTTTAAGGCTGTGTGATAAACAAAGACAAAATATTGCAATCTGAAATAGTAACCTTATAGGCTTGATTTTTTTCCATTTAAGGTTTGCCTTGAATCTGGCCAGATTTTGCATTTTACATGTCAATGTAGGTATAGTTTAGCCATGATTATGATCTCAAATTAGAAGAATAACAAGATTCTACTCTCCCATTTTTATTAATGATATGATCTCAGCAATGCCAACATATTATAGATAAATTGGCACTGGGAACATTCATACTTGTTCAAAATTAATTCCCAATGAGCTCAGTGGAGAATTCTGACCCAAAAGGAGAACAACTGGGTTTATAATTACAAAATGTCTGATGGGAGTCATTCTTTTTCAGTGGCTAACATTTCTGACCTCCAGTGATCACTGACCCTAAAATATATATTTGCAGAAGGGTTCCCACCTGCTCTTGGGAAAGGCCAAATAGTTTGCAATAAATCCTGGAAGAAATTACTTCTAAGTGTCTATGGCTAAGCAAGTCCTTGCATCTTCACAATGCACGGTGCCTGCAGGTGTCAGGAACATTGACTTTCCTTATGTGAAGCACCCACCGGCAAGCTACAGCACTTATTCATGAACTGATCTGCTGATGGGGAGGGCGCTAGCCTCCTCTTCAAATGCCTGCTAGTAATCAGTTGCTATTTTTAATCAGTAGCAGATTTGCTGACTATGCTAGGAATGGCTTGTTTCAAGGAGCAGGATGGAGCCAGCACCATGTCTAAATGCCCCAAATTTTATCTTCAAATGGCAGGACCGAGTGCTCAGTCCACAAGCAATTCTGTCACAAAGTGCAACTGAGGACCAAAGATGAATAGCATGTTTCTTTTCCAAGAAAAATACTGTATTGTTCAAATGTGTCTTAAGATAATGTTTATCAGCTTTCACAGATTTGCTGCTGCTGTCACACACAACTAATTTGTTCATTCTTTTAGAGTGATCAACAATTAGCTATTAGTAATAGCACTGAGTGAACCCCTTAGGAATAAATCCAGACTTGCCCTGCTCAAAGAGATGGAACTGGGATCCATCAGAGGCTTTGCACTGATGGAGAGGGCTGGAGTGACAGTTTTCTCAGATTCACTCTTCCCTCTGCAGGACCCTAGTACCATGTCTTATGTTCTTCTGGAGGATCTGGAGGTTTCTGCCCTTTCCACCAGGGTCAGTGAAGCGACTAAGCACAACCTAGGTCCCATGGCACTTTGACCAAGTCTGTGAAATCCCATGAACTACAATTCAATTTCTGGAGTTTGTAGGATTATTTCACAATACACAATGATCAGATGACACTGTTGTTACTATCTAATTTTGGATGTTATTTAGTGGCATGGGTAGACCATGGAACATTTTGCTCTATAATTTTTTGAATATATTCAGTCTAAAAAGGAATTTTTCATTAATATAAAGTCTGCTTTATGATTTTCCCCTCTGGAAAAACAACACAAACTAGTTCAATGCTGTATCATTTTTAAAACTAAAACCATGGAAGGAATGCTTCTGTTTTAAAATAAGCTAATTTGACCAATAATTAGCTGAGTCTTGCTGTAAATTTTATTTTATAGGAGAGGTAAAATTGGCAAAAATATGGTAAAGCTGTTCTGTCCTGCTTAGGCTATTAAAACAGAACTTCATTAGGATGAAAATGGGGATTGTAGGCTTCATGCTACTTCTGCCACATTAAAAGTCATCTTGAATGCTTCACTGAGGTCAATTCTGTTTTGAATAAAGCCAAGATCAAGCCAACAACCACTATTCAATGTGAAAACAAAATGATCAAAACTTTCTGAACCAATTTAGAAAAGTCAGCAACATACAAAGAGGGAAACATTTTGATAAGTGCTTTTGCGTATAAAATGTAAGTGGGATTGCTGGAGAGGTATTTCATTTAGTAATTGGTATAAGGATTAGATGACAACATAGAAATCAGGCAGAGTAGGTATTGTTTCTCTTTCTCTGGTTTTTTTTTTTAAATAAATAATTTTTTAAAAACAACAACATCAAACTGGTAGGAAAAATGGATGGGAAAGGATAGGTCACCCAGGATCAAATGCTGGCATAGAGGAAGGATAATCCAGGAGAAAATGCAGAATGGGTTGCTGCAGGAAGAGGAGGAAGGACCCAGGAAAAAAGGCAGAAGAGCAGGAAGGGATAAGGGGGACAAAGGTAGACCTGTGGAGGCAAGGAACACACATACACGCGCAAACACACATAGACAGGAGAAAAAAAATAGCAGTTGAAATAACAAGTTCCACTTGAATGCACAGATTAAGCATTGATACTGTTTCAGTTGGTTTGCTCAAAAGAATATTCTTTCCATTAATTGTTATAATAGTATGTTCTGAACTTTCTTGACAACACTAGTTTTAGGGAGCTATATTTTATCTCTGCAGTGACACTAGAACCATTGAGACTGATAAGTGGAAGAGAAGGGCCAGATTAGTTTGGAAAGACAATTTCTGTAAAAGATTGCAGAGAACATTCTGTTGCCAAATCATGTTGAAAATTAAACAGTTTCTTCAAGTTACAGTAGGTGCATTTCTCTTACACCAGGAGCACCATAATGCATAAGTGCTTTTGTAAAAAAAACCAAAACAAAACAAAAAAAAACCTTCCCAAAGCAACAGTCAATCATGCAATAAAATACCAATAAATTGCATGCTAATGATAAGTGAAAAAGAATGGATAACCATACATTGTTAGTAGCTAAAAGGATACTTTTTCAGGATTTGGTCAGTGTAGGTTAGTTCTCTCTAGTTCATTTTTTCTAATATTTTTATTTCAAAGTATTAGTCATTATTCTGAGAAAGGAAAACAAATCACTTCCCCAACTCTTTGTCTAGACCAGGGTCAGCAACCCACGGCTCCGGAGCCGCATGTGGCTCTTTCATCCCTCTGCTGCGGCTCCCTGTCACTCAAAATATGCGTCACAATCGCCAACGTGCAACACCCGTCGGCACACGGTTTATTGAGCTTTTTGACCCCCAGTAGGCCAACCATGGATAAATCCAAGAAAATAAAAGTTTCAGAAGAAAACAGAACGTTTAATGGTACGTGGGCAGATTCATTTGCTTTCACTGCTAACCAGACTGGTTTACCAGTCTGGTTTTTTTTTTAGGTAAAAAACAATGTTTGCAGTGTTATCTTCATTTTAGATGTCAAAAGGGTTTTGTGGCTCCTGGTGTTTTCTTTTCTGTGGGAAATGGATCCAAATGGCTCTTTGAGTGTTTAAGGTTGCTGACCCCTGGTCTAGACCTTTGGATCTTTATTCTCATTAAAAGGAGATTGTATTTTGAGGAGAATTCGGACAGGTCTGTCATTTCCCAGTGCTTTATTACAGTTAACTCACAAACAAATCTGTTGCTTTCTGATGATGTTAGATATACAGAAGGTTATCTCATTACAAAACAGTTCCGTCTAACTTAATGTCACAAAATCCCAGCCACTGCCATTCCTGTTTTAGTTAACAGACAGTTTTCTTCTGTCTAAATTTTGTTCAAATTTGAAACCAACTGAAAAAGTTTCAGGATTTTGCTAGGTCACTGAATAATATCTATGTCTTTGAATTAATCAAGAGGAAATGGAGCAAAACCAGAGGTAGAATGATTAACTATGTGACATTAACCTTGGCACAGTTATGAATGGAGAGGTAACACTCATCATCTGATCAGCAGCAAAGACTTATCTCATTATTTCAGCTAGTATTATATCACAAGTTTACTTCAAGATTTATGAAGCTGTTCATGAAAATTATTCTAAACCCTCGATCTATCATTGCTACAAGCTAATATTGCTGCCAGGAATCATAAAGTGACTCCTGCGGCCTCCTCCTGTTCTTGAGCTCAAATATGCCTATAAGTCTTTGTGTTATATTGTTTGTTAGGCTGTAGGATTGTATTTTATCCTTTTCTATGCCATCAAGTAATTAATCATTCCACCATTTCTGTAAAATGTTGATAGCTAAAGAAGCTTAATTTAAGTCTTACCCGGTTTCCTTTTTCACCTGGTGAACCTTGTAAACCCTGCAATATGCAAGTTTTTAAAATTTCTATATGTCTCGTAGCAACACAGAACTTCTCTGATGCTTTGAAATTACACCAAAAACAACAAAATTTTGTGGCACTTCAGAGACCAACATTTTATGCTATCATAAAGCTATAATAAAATTTCCTAGCAGAAATGGTATCAACCTTCTCTAACCCAGTGCCCTCCAGATGTGCTGTTGTTATAATTATGTGTATTTTCATTTCTGGGTAATTTGCAACAGTTTGGGCAGTTGCCTGGGGGATGATGGAAATTGCAATCCAAAACATTTGGAGGGCATCAAATTGGAGAAGGCTAAATTAACCTAACAAAGAAAAATTTGCTTTTAAAAAAGAAATCTAGTAAAAGCTAAAATGTTAAATAACAAAGGAAGCATTCTTTTGACCTTCCCCACAGGAACACATAGTGGAATGTTCTTCTCACAGCCCCTCTGTGTGGCAGGCTGGACAAGTGGTGATTTACTTTTTACACCAGGTTTCATGGTTCAACGGGCAAGCAATAGTTTTCTTTTGCTATATTGGGGAACTGGGTCTATTCGATCACTTCCTCCCTTGCTAGGCACAAGTCAGACCAGATCTGCATGTTCATGCTTGTCCGAGGCTTGCCCACCAGCCTTGCAGTATTTCACTAAACAATACCTTTGTTATCTGTTCCATGCATGTGGAGAAGATAGTATTGATAAAGCCTTTACTTTTTCTCAAGGAAGTAATGGAAGCAGACAATATTTATACCGTTGTGCTAAATTGTTAGATGGATTTGTGAATTGTTTGTGAAAAACAGTGAATTGGGGATTGGTGTGAATAGAAATATTTTTTTAAAAGGCTGTGTACTTACAGGAAGCCCTGCCAGTCCTATTGGTCCTGTAGTTCCAGGATCTCCTTTATTGCCCTAAAATGGAAGTAGGAAGACAAATATTTTCTGATTTTGGAATAGTACTATATTGTGTTAGTAGGTCCGTTCTGTGTCTATTGTAGCTGACCATGCAATAAAAGATAAAATAATGATTATATATTATTATGGTAGGCACCAATTAAAAATCAACTGCTGAAGGCCAAATGCTTTCCTAAATAGAAAGGTGTTAGCAGTTGCAGGGGACAGACAACAAGGAGGAGGTAAGATGAACTGCACTAGACAGGGAACTCCAAAGTCTGAGTGGGGCAACAGGTAAGGCCCTCTTCCTTCTTCCAATATGACATAGGTTTGGAACTGACAGGAAGGCTTCCACAGATGATTTCAACAAGTGAGCAGGTTCATATTGGAGAAGGTGGTCCCTAACCCTAACCTCTTCTTATGGTTAAACGGATTTTTAACCTTAAACAGATTTTACGCAGTAAGGGACAAGTCAGAAGAAGTGGTGGGAAAATAAGTAGGGTATTCTATTAAATTCTATTAATATAACAGGGTAATGGAAGTATCTTATGACTGTAAAAGTTATAAGCAGTGCTTTGAATTGTATCTAGTGTGAGAAATGAAATGTTACTGTTACTAAGTGTTAAGGGTGAAAAACAGGGTTAGGACAGGATCACTGAAGTCTCTTAAGGCCAAAAGGCCTGAGAATCAAATCTTGTAAATAGCTGTACTAATAGTAATAGTGTTTCTTACATCAAAGTCCTGAAAATTGCCAGAGAAGGTAAAAGTGGGGGACAGTAGTAAAACTGTCACCTTCAGTGGAAGAGAGTAGGAAATAGATTGCCTTTTACAACTGGCCGTAATGAGCCTGGAGGAAGGGCTGTTCTCTTATCTCATCCTCCCACAAGATTTAGGAAACAAGTTGGCATCACGTGAGAGGCTCCAAGGCCAAGCTGCCCTGTTGAACTTTTAAAAGGAACTGCGCACGCTTCATAGGCGCATGAATAGTAACTGACACCCCTCTCATAGGTAATGGGCTCATTAGCATGAACATGGGATGTATGTGCGGGAGGGGGAGCATATCAAGGGGTCGTATGATGTAGGCGGACGGAGAAGACTACCTTCTGAGTAGCCCAGCCAATGGGGGAAAAGAGGAAGGGTCTGCGAGCCGGGAAAAGGGAATAAAAAGCAATGTCTTGTGTGTCAACAGCGCGCTACCTGTGTGGTGGGCATCCGCTCTTGCAAGAACGTATTAAACTATACTGCTTGCTACTTTGCCTCCATATCGTCACTACTTGGATTTTACTCCTGACACTAGAAACCTGGATGAAGCCAGTGTCCAGTAAGGTGACATTCTCTCAATCAGAATATCCATTAAATAATGTGGCTGCTGCATTTTCAATAAGATGAAGGTTCCAGACACTTTCAAAGGCAGTTCCATGTAAAACATTTTGCAGTAGTCCATGAACAAAGCAAAACCTCTAGCTGTAGCTGTCACCTGGACTTCTAGATCAAATCATGGTCCTAAAGAACTCCCAAATATAGATCTATGTTTTCAGAGAGACTGCTGCCCCACCTCTACTAACAGCATTTCTGTCTTGTCTGGTTTAATTTTTAACTTGTGAGCCCTCACCCAGCCCGCTACTGACTTTATATGTAGGCTGAGAACTTCCACAAATTCCCTGGTATGTAATGCTAAGGAGAGACTTCTGGGAGTAATTCACATATCAGTAGAATGGAACTCCAAATCTCTGTATGACTTTCCTAGAGATTTACTATAAGCATTCACGTAACCATTCCTCATACGAACGTGACGTTGAAGAAAGGAAGTTTCATTCTTTTCCCCCAAAAAGGCTCCCCACAGGGCAGAATACATGTGATTTCCTAAGTGGCAACAGAATGGTGCTAACATTCTTTATCCTGGTCATCTCTGAAAAGGTGTCTCATCCTAGAATGGGATACACTGTCTTGGTCCCACTGCAAAACAGCTGCCGCAGGAGGCATGCTATTCACAAATAAAACAACACAGGGGCTGACTACAAGACAACCCTATTTCACAGAAGGTGCTCCCTTTCCTCCTCCTCTGCCAGCTAACTCATTTCCTAAATCAATTTTTCTCTCTCACACTGGACCATAAATGCATGTGCTCACTCATACATGCTCTCTCTCACTATCATTCCGTACCCCATTTATACACGGATGCACAAACATCCTTCTGCACCTCACCACAACAAAATCCCCCAAAAATCTCCCGAACAACCCTTTCTCTTTCGCACACACATGCAACCCCTGTCCATTCAGACATAAAAGGTAAAAACTTTCCCCTAATGAGGTTGCTCTAAGTTGGCTCCCCCAGCACCTGCCAGCTTCCTTGTGATGCCCCTCCCTGGCGGCTTCCCTGCCCTTCCAAGAGCATTGCCATTGTTCTCCTGGGCCCCCTGCTGCTTCCTTGAGCCCTGTCCCCAGCAAACCAAACAGAAGCTCCTCTTCTTTCCCCGCTTTTTCTTGGCTTGGTGCACTGCAGAGGAAGCCTCTCGTTTGCAGCTACTTGCCATCTTCATTTTCCCAAAATGCTGCTCAGCCCCACATGTGGTCAAAAAGCACACACAAGAAATGAAGATGGCAGTGTCAGGAGGCCCCCACTTTGCTCTGAAGCGATCCCAGTTACAGGGAAGAAAACATGCTAATAAAGAAATGAAGTGGGGGAAGCTGAGCCTCTTCATCAGCACACACACACACACAAAGGAGGCCAAGTGTGTACTGATGCTTGTGGGCATCATATTGCCCACTGCTGCAGAAGAATATACAGTGGTACCTCGGCTCACGAACGCCCCAGTTCACGACCAAATCGGGTCATGAACAAACATTTCATAAAAATTTTGACTCAGGTCACGAACTCCGCATAGAGTGGCAACTGTGATTGCAGCCATCTCCCCACTCATGCTGGGGGTGGGGGGAGATGGCCAAGATCGTGCCTATCTTTCCTGCACGAGCGCCCATGTTCGCACCCATCCCTCCCCCCAGCGCGCCCGTGTTCGTGCCTGTCTCTCTCCCCCAGCGCACCTGCGTTTGCGCCTGTCTCCCCCCCCCCACCCCCCCGCCAGCCCGCCCCCCCCCCTTCCCCCCCCCCCCCCCTCCCCCCCCCCCCCCACTTTTGAGTTCCCGCCCATCCCCCCCCCCCCCCGGCGCACCCGCGATTGCGCCCATCTCCCCCCTCGAGTGTGCCGGGATGACGGGCGTGTGCAGAGATGATGGGTGTGATCACGGTCATGCTGGGGGGCGGGGGGAGATGGCTGCACTCATGCTCGGGGTGGGGGTGGGAGATGGCCGTGATCTTTGTTGTTCTTTGTCACTTTGCTTCACATTTTTCTGATTTAAAAAAAAATAGTTACAGAACAGATTAACCTTATTTACACTGAACCTTATGGGGAAATTTAACTTGGCTCACAACCAATTAGGGTCATGCACAGAGTCCTGGAATGAATTAAGTTCGTGAGCCAAGGTACCACTGTAGCACAAGGGGAAACAGCTGCATTTAAGATATAGTGGTGATTGTATATGGGTTGCTGATAGCTTGTCAAAGGCTCTGCTTACCCTCTCTCCTTTTGGTCCTGCTGGTCCTGGAACTCCAATTGGTCCTGGAGTACCCTGCAAGTTTATGGGGAAAAAAATTAATGAAGGCATTTACTCAACCATATTCCAAATGACTTAAGAGCATAGTTCTTCATGACAAAAAGAACTGGGAATATTTGGTTATTCAGGATTTTTACTTAAACCCCAAAAGCATTTTGAATTGATGAAGATCTTTGACTTTTAGTCAACTTTAAAACCAGAACTTTATCTGAATAAGTGAAGTTGATATGATGGTAAAAAGAAAGAAAGAAAAGCACATGTGCCTTAAAAAATTGAAATATGTTCTCCCAGGCTTCTATCATCAGCAAAGCTAGAAGCTGCAGCAAAATGAAGGCAAGATCATATTTTTAAGCCTTTCAAAAGAGTTTGGATAGAGATAAGTAAACTCTGCATCACTGTTCAGGTAAGCAGCTCATCATGCAGGCTGAAAGATAACCATGCCCCAGGAAATAATGTAAATATACAGTAATACAGGAGACAGTGTGAGAAGAACTCATTCATGTTGTAATTGTAAGCCATCCAGAGACAAACTGTAATGGACGGGATAGAAATACTCAGATAAATAAATAAAGTAAGTAAGTAAGTTCAGGCTTTCTGTTTGTCTGCCCACCATGTATTATACACCAATTTATTAGTGCTAAGAAAGGGGGAAATCCAATGAAGTGCTTGTTTTTGGCTTAGGAGTATTTTCTCTTTTATGTTCAAGTCCTACTAAAATTACAGACCTTGCCATATTAACTAATTAAACTAACAAGGGCATGATCCAGCTTCTGGGCCAGTTTATAAAATCAAGGACAATCAACTTGAACTGTATCATTTCAGGCTACAGTTGGGGAATGCAGAATATCTAAATGATCTGCACTAAATTGGACGTTTTTAGCACATGAGAAAGCATGATGTTAGGAAGAAAAGTTCAGTTTAAGTTTTGCCCTGAACTGCTAGTTTAAAATTATTTAATTAATGGTGTTTTTATTCCTGAGAAACAAACATGTGAGTCTTCAGATTACATGCTACCAACCCACCAATGAAGTAGTACAGTCCAGGATTCTGATGATTGTAAAACTGGCCCTTATTAAGGACTGGTTGGATCCACCGATTTCAGTAGGAATGCTAAGCATTCCCATAAATCTCTCCCACTGAAAAGGGTCTTTACTTTTTGCCAATGATACTAATGAATGAGCAACAGCATTCTGGCAAGGAAAGGGAATTAATCTGGTATGCCAATAAAACTTCAGTCACATTTATGCTCTATCATACAGGTGGAAGATATACAGTGCTCCAGATGTTATTGGATCTCAACTCATATCAGTCCTAGGCAGCAAAGCCAATGGTGAAGGATGATGGGGTGGCAGTCCAGCAATATCTGGAGGCCACACATTCCCCATCCCTGCTGTATGTTGAACAATACTGTCCAATGCTCTAGTCATGGCATGCTTTTCTCCACATTTTGCAGTCTGAGTGCTTTCTAATTAGCAAGAGTAACCACTGAAACAAAGCTTATCCATTCAGTTACATTTATAACCTGAAGTCAGATCTAATCATTATACTAAGGCATGGGACATCTGCCCAGGTTAACAGGATGACACTCTACTTTGAAAAGGAAAGTGAGAACCATGTTTATTCACAGAGGTGCTTGAGTAGGTTCTTGTCTACCTGTACTACCTGTTCTAGATCCTGAAGACACTTGTCACTTGCTATCTGCTCACCACTACTTTCAACTACTTTCACATGTGTCCTACTTCAATGTCTCAGGTGTTTAATCAGTTGTTCTGTAGGCCTCAGCCAAACTGGTGGTTCAGAACCCTACCATTTCTAAGTTCTTTGGATGGAACCAGGATCTAAATTTCACATGTTTAAGCTAGATTACTAATTTTCTGAGAATGTCTATAGCCTATCCCTGAGCATGAAGAGGAAATGTACTTCCTTACTCCCTTAGGGCTGCACAGTGATAAAGGAAGCTCCACATATCACCTCTACCCAGTGAGGTTCTGCAAATCCAATTATGCAAGTACAAAGGAACAATTCTATATTTTTAAAAGAGAGAAAAATGCAGTAATCTAGAAGAAGAAGTTCCACCAGGATTTCTCAAACACTGTATGACACAGTATCAAGACCTTAATAGAAATAGTTGTCCATATTTCATCCAAAAAATTTAGACTGCTTTGTAAAATGGGTTAATATTCTTCTTCTGGAATGAAAACTTGACTAACAGAATTCAGAGGCTGCTAACTCCAGGATAATGCTCTGAGACAAAAAAACCATGTCAATGTAGACATAACTTATAATTCCTCAAGAGTCATGTAAATTTCAATAACTGTTGTATAACCAAAATAACAACTCTGATAATTGTTTTCATTATAATTTCTCTCATTAAGGATGCAAGGTTTTTCTAGCTGCTGTTGACTCTTCTTCAACTCAGCACTTCTGGATGGACTATATGAATACAAGGATACAGTCTTATGATTGCTAGATATTCTTTAGACAGCTATAGGAAAATTTAAATAAAAATTTAAAGCTCGACCCTGAGGTTAAGAACTAGGGCCCCTCTCTACCCCCACAGCTCCTTCCATGCTGGCTGTGACTCCAAGGTTGCAAGTATGACAACAGAGATGCTATTTCGGCAGGGAGGGAGATGGCAGAAAGGAGAATATCAAGCATCTGCTGGAATATGAGGAATCCTGGTTGTGCCTCAGCATTTCCTCCTCATAAGCAGGGTAAAACACTTAGTGTTTTGGATAGTTAGGAAAGCATGGAGGCATTCCTTGCCTCCTCACTCCCCAAAGTCAGAGGATGCTCATAATCCTCTGACTTTGGAGGGTACCAGGCAGCCGCACTGGATAGGCTGTCTGCAAATGAATCAGTATTTGTCCTCCAAGGATAACTGGCTAAGCAAACTGGCTAAAACAGGAACAGACCCCAGAAGACTATTAAGGAGTTAACCAGTAATTCCTTATGGGTTTAACAGAGTGAAGCTTAAAATCATTTCCCACTGTAGTGGGTGGAATCATGGAACTGAGAAGATAATTTAAACTGACATGAAAGCCAGTTTTTTTACATGTAGCAAAACCATGTTCAGAAGATGCCAGAAAGCTTTATGGCCAGGTCTCCTTGGTGTGAAGAACATTCCAGGTTATAGTACAGCGGTCAACAATATATATTTTTCTTTCGAGGGTCATGTTCCTTTATGTATAAGCTGTTGGGAGGGCTGGCACATGGTGGTGGTGGGTGGATCAGCCCTCTTCTCTTTCTCTTGCACCCCTTTTTGTTATTCCCTTTCCCCCACAAGGTTCTTCTTCCCCCTGCAGTAGAGTGCCAGGGAAGAGACAGATTGCTTTTTCCAGCAGTCTGAACTTGACTGCACCCACAGGAAGTTAGGCCTAGGATTGCTGGTTGACCACCTCTTCCACAGTGAGCTCAGGACATGGAATTGGCTGCAATACATTGACAGTATTTGAAATAAAAATGTGACAGAGTGCCTTTTGCTCATGCTACTGATTTTTAGAGCATTACTATTGTTGAGACAAGTGTGAAGAGGTGCTTTATACAAACGTTTCACAGCGAGAATAAAAGAGGACAATGGACAGCTGACAATATGAGGACAGAGGCACATAACATCAGAATGGTAACATGCAAATGATTCACTGACATAATTTACAGAATATTATAAATAAAGAGGCAGACTATCCTCAATCCACAAGACTGTAATGAACAACATGTTGGCTGTTCAGAATCAAAATGGAGTGGTTTCACTTGTCCTAGCCTATCCTTTTGGGAAGACAATGATACAGATGTGGTTATGGCACGACAAAGACAGCAAATCACAGCATTAGGGGATAGGAATAGAGGGCAATGGAGAACTGGAACTCACCGGTGGGCCAGGTCTGCCGTCTAAACCTGAAGCACCCTGGACAGACAAGGAAGGGTTAACAAAACAAAAGGCAAAGAGGAAGGGGGTGAGGAGGGGAAAGGAGAGGTGAGTGAAGCAGTGACTGGAGACAAACATGTGCCAACGATAAAAAACAAAACTCAAATCTCAAAGACAGGTGATGGCACTCACAAGGAAACTAACAAAAAACAAACACTAAATGCAACATAGGCTGGTTGCTTTAGGATGCCTGTGAGAATGCAGCAGTCCAGCACACTCTCCCAGAACAAAGAACACCTCCCTCTGGATTTTGGAGAGCATTGCTGATTCCTCATCCTATGCAGCTGAGAGAAATAAAACCTTTCTGGTGATAGCATGTGAACTGGCCAGCAATAAGCATATTAGGAAATGAATTTTGAGGGGAAGTAATAACGGTTGCTTAGAAATGCAGTAGCATTGCTGTTGACTCTGAGAAGCTAATACAAAAATTTCTCACATAGAACCATCGCCTGGGGAAGGACAGTTATATTTTCCTTCAACCCCTTTGGGCTTTTCTACATTCCATTTTTTGCAGGAGTAAGGCTGCTTCCCTGATATGGTTCTTTTCATCCAGGTTTTTCTTTCTCTGCCTTTGTATCCATTCTGTCCCACAAGCACAAGGGTAACTTTGATATGGTTGAACTGAAAATCTATACCGGCATTTTCTGGCTTTTGTTATGAGATAAGGGAATATTAGCTTATTATCCTTGCTGTTAAAATGGCTGCTAAACCTAGGAGAGGCGTTGAAGGATGGTAAAGGTATGTAGGGACCCAGAAAGTACCAACAGTAAAGGATAATTTAATATTAAATTGTAATTTAATATTATAATTATTTTCAATTTATTGTTGTAAGCCGCCCCGAGGCTTCGGCGAATGGGGCGGCATAAAAATGTTTTAATAAATAAATAAATAAATAATAATGAAAGCATATTACATGCTTCTTGTACAAAAGCCATATACCTAGTAACGTTATAGCAATGCTCCAGAAGTTAAAGGATGGGAAATGGTTAAAACAGTTTATATTTAACATTTAAAGCCTTTCTGAAAAAATCAAGCAAAGGTTATATTGCAGTGTGTGTATGTCTACCAAGAGATAAGTCCCACTGAATTC